TTTCATTTTCTCAAAACTAGAGGCTTTCCATATATATTGACATTTTGCATTATTTTCAAAATTAGTATACAGGGTGTCCCAAAAGGTCGTTTACAAACTTAACATGCTGGTCTGTCATATCATGATGAACAAGATTTACATAGGAACTTGTGTCCGAAAATTAAAACTGAGACCGCTAGAAGGCGATAAGTGCAGGTTTGGATGAGGAGAAAAAAAATGATATCGATAGCGGTGTTAATATGATTTTTATTATACATCACAGCAAATGCTCAAAATTCCTTCCATTCGCCACAATGCACGTTTCACAGTGTCGGTGCATGGATTCACGAACCCGTTCAAATTGGCCAAGAGTGTCACGGACGCGTGCTGCCGCTTCCGCGATCCTGGCGATAAGATCCATGTCCGATGTTACAGGTGTCTCGTACACTATGGACTTCATGTGTCCCCACAGGTCCAGGGGAGTCAGGTCGGGGGATCACGGCGGCCATGGGACTGGTCCGCCTCTACCGATCCAGCGATTAGGATAAATCCTATCGAGGTATTCTCGAACAGCGTNCCACAGAAGCCGAAAGAGGCTAATCAAAGTAAAATGCATATCCACGCGTTATGGAGAGATGGTGTGGAATTAATGTCGTTAACAAGAGAATTAGTGTAGTGCCAATGTGCACTTCTAAACTTAAATCTTCTCTTTGGAAGCATCAAGGTCTTCTGTAATGACCACCCTTAATGTATATTAGTAGAATCTTTCTCGAAACCGAGATCGAAAAAAATATACACATTCGGATGAGCATGTTAATATTTAAATAAAAATAAAAATGATCGATAGCTGAGAATCACTAATGAGGAAGGCGATGTTGAAAACACCATAACTTGTTTGATTGAGAGATGAAAATTTAAAAAGTTTCTAATAATTTCCATTTAATCCCTTTCTGTTTCTTCGAGTAAACAAAGAGGTCTCTATGTTTATTTTTATACATTCTTATTCAATAGTGATTTTCAAATTTTCGATAACGTTTTCATATACTGCAAATTTTCGATAATGGTTTCATATGCTGCAAATTTTCGATGACGTTTTCATATGCTGCAAATTTTCGATAACGTTTTCATTTGCTGCAAATTTTCGATAACGTTTTCATATGCTACTCCTACTAATGTTTTTTTTTTTAATTTCATTTTCTACTTGATTTTCAAAAATATTTATTAAAAGATGTTATGGCGGAACAAGCTGCATATTATTGGATGCAGTTTTCAATGATCATTGGAATTACAAAAGTTCTAAAACTAAACATTGAACACTTTAATAATCACAAAATCTTACTTGAAAAAAAAGTAAAAAATGTTTTGCTAATTGCGTTTTTCTCAAAATTCACTTAAATATCGAGCGATCGATTTATTTAATTTCTTTCGGTTATTCAAGAAGAAAGAAAAAAAACCCGGAGAGAATAGGGAAAAAGAAAAGAAATCATAGAAAAAATTTTTTTTCCCTTTAATAAACAAAACATAATCACACCTGAAGGATGAAGGGCAACGGTGGCATGATTTTTTTTCAGGTGAGAATACTAGACAGTTAAATCAACCATTTAATATTTTTATATATTTATTTTATGTAGTCCAAACTGAATAATATTTTTCATTTTAAAAATAAGCTTTTGTTTATTCAAAATAAGTCATTCATAATATCGTCCTTTTTAATCATGTTGAAATTAGTTTTGCAAAACAAAAAGTTCTAGTTCAAAACATTAACCAATCAAAATTTTAATCATTGCTCTATTTAAAATAATGATGAGATTTGATTTTAGTATTGTCTCCCTATGTTGAATACAAACAAAAGTTACATAAACATTTTCAAAGAAGTTCCCAAATTTTATACAACATGAAACGAGTTTTAAAATTATATACAAATTTTATTCATTAAACTTAAATGTCTTTTCCCTCAAAACCAATCTGTTTGATCTAGTTTCATAACATTTTAGAAAACTTATTTCTCTACATTTTGTTTTACGAATTATTGTTGAAATGAAAAACTAAAAAGGCTAAAAATTATTCCGTGAAAATAGGTAACTTTTTTTGTAAAATCAAACATTATTAGTGTAATAGAAGTTTTCTTTTTTTTTTTAATAATAATGTTGTGTTGAATTTTTTTGATTGAATACTGCAGAGTGTTAGATTTGGTCAAATTTAGGATTAAGTCTGAGAGGAATAATATTTGTTTTTAGTTAAACATACAGAAATATCGAAATTAAATATGCTTCAAATTAAAGGGAAATATAAGATTTATAAAATTATAATTGAATTTAAAGTTTATGGAACAATCCTTAAAACATTATTAAGTGGTAATTTTGCTTAAATAATACATATTTTGATTGATAACTAATTATGTTTGATGACTAATTATTTTTGCTAAATTTTAATTAAAGTTGCTGCCGTGATGAATTAAATATCGAAAAATTGACTTTAAAAAAATATTAGAGAAACAATCCACGGAATACTCTAAATTGTCAATTTATTCAAATGAATTGGTGAAATTTAAATTAACTGTTTCGTAACAAAGGATAAATATAATTTTGGATAAATGTAACATAATCTAAGCGATTTAAATTCCTTAGTTTTTAATTAAATGCATTAAAATTAGGTAAATATCAAATTAAAATTAAATTTGAAGCTGATAAAAATCATGAGTCAATTTTAAGAGGTCCTTATCATCGGCATCTTGCATTCTAGCTTAAATTTTTAATTGGCGTATTCTCGATATTATTTTTGCAAACTTTGATAACATAGTAATGTTATACGGCACAGTACCTTTCAAAAAAGGCAGAAATTAAAGAGGTCGCTCCATGTGATTAGGAGAAATATCACTGGATGATTTTTTATAACTTCTATGAATTTTTCCTCAAAACTTTAAAGCAATAAAATGATGCGATTTGTGGTTTTGAGTTGGTAATTTAAAACTATACGTCGTTAGTTCTTAGATTTTTTGAAAATTTAACCATGTTGCGATTTAAATTTATGAACAGCGATTTGGATGAAGCCAAAAAAATTTTTTAAAGTTAATGATGATATTTAAATAAAAAATAAAGATAATAAAATACATACGTTACGTTATAAAAATAATAATACGTTAATCAAAATAAGGCTACTTATCAAAAATTTAAAAACTAATAACTGTTTATTATTTAACTACCTTTCAAAAATCGCTTATTGGAGAATTATATCGGCATAATTTTGTAAGAAACAATTAATAGTGAATCTATAATATTCTACGCCTTATATTTCAAATTCTGGTAAAGTGACGGTTTTATATTTTACGTGTATCGATTGTAGTGCCAAATAAAGTAAATATCTATCAGGAGTTTATTTGTGAAAATTAAATGTAAAGGATTAAAAGCATACAATTTAGAATTTTCCACCCCTTTGACTGTTGAGTTCGATCGAGAAAGGAAGGGCCTCTTAAAAGAAAGAATTGTTCCATTAATTCATTTAAATTAAACACCATTCGAGTAAAAGAAGCTTTATTATTTTTAATTGTTATTCAATTCCTACTATTGTTATTCAATTCCTACTATTGTTATTCAATTCCTACTATTTTTATTCAATTCTTACCATTGTTATTCAATTCCTACTATTGTTATTCAATTCTTACCATTGTTATTCAATTCTTACTACTGTTATTCAATTCTTACTACTGTTATTCAATTCTTACTATTGTTATTCAATTTCTACTATTGTTATTCAATTCCTACTATTGTTACTCAATTCCTACTATTGTTATTCAATTCCTACTATTTTTATTCAATTCCTACTATTGTTATTCAATTCTTACTATTGTTATTCAAATCCTATTATTGTTATTCAATTCCTACTCCCTATATCTTGCTCAAATTTTTCAATCGTTAATAAAATACTTTTTATTCATCCACTCAATGTCAAATACATTTTTTTTAAACTTGTAGTGGATGACACTTTCATATTAATAGTTTTTCTCAAATATTAATTCATTAATTAAATATATTAATTAAATACATCAATTAAATTACATTACTTAATTCATTAATTAAATACATTTCATTAATTAATTACTTTTAGTTTCATATGGGGGAGAAAACAATTGTAATTATTTAGTAAAAAAAACTAAAACAAAATTTTTCTAAATAGAAATTGACTTTAAAAATATTTTTTTTAATATCACTTGTTATTAAAGATGCTCAATTAACTAAACTGAAATAGTCAATTGAATATCGTAAAATTCTATTTTTTGGGCAAATGTTACATAATTCGTATAATAAAAATTACAATATTTTTTTTAAATTTAATATGCCGAAATTGATGAATAGCTCAGATATTTAAAGTGATGTTGTGAAATTAAAAATATTGAAATGATCCAAATTAATTTGCAGATTAGCAATTTATTCAAATAAAGCACTATTACGCGAAAGAAACTCAATTTTTATTTAATAACGATGTTAATGATAAATTGAATGTTTTGTTAAAAGAATGCTTTAATTAAACTTAACGAAGTATGTTAAAAATTAAAGGTCGGAAAAGCGATATAAATTATATTTATTTTCAATTAAATAGGTTACAAATTATTAGTGAAATTAGTGAAGTATTAGTGAAATTAAGAATGAGAAAATGATCCATTGCGTATCGCGAATTAACATCTTATTGGGGGAGGGGGCATCATTGATGCGATCGAAACTTATTTTTTATAAAGGTGCAAAGATCAAATGTGTTTAAATGATCAAATGAATGTTGTAAAAAGTACGTTAAATTAAATAAGTACGTGGAAAATTAAGGGTCAGTAAAGTTTTAAATGTAACCATACTATGATCTACTGAATCATGAAATTTTGTTAAAATAGAAAATTTTCTGCAGCGCAAAGGGTAAATCGAAGTGTTTTAGAAAATGTACGAACTAAAAAATAAATGACAAATAAAGTACAGCAACAGGTTGTTGCTCTATTGAACTTGCTCAAGATTAAATATCAAAGACGAATTTCTCACCTTGAAAGTGGCAACGAGTCTCTCCGTGTCCGCAGAACGGGGTGTTGTCTCGCTGGGCAGCCCCGTCTTGACGCTGAATTCTTCCCGATGCAGAAAGGGGCTTGGGCAGCCGCGAAAATTCCAACAACTGGGAGTCGTTTGCTTTTCGAACACCGCGGGTGGCAGCAAGGACCGGTCTAGCCTCTCTGGGCTCAGAGTCTCGTCTGCGGAGACAGTAGTGTTCAGAGTGTGATAACCGAGGTCATGACCAGGTGACAGGCGGCCCGATGCGCAGAGGGTCATGTGTTGGAGTCCGCCCAGTAGCGGTCCGTCGTCCTGCACCGCCCCATTACAGCGGGGGTGGGTGTCCAGCGGCTTATCCGGGTAGAGTGCCATGAGACCAGCAGAGAAACTGACTGAAAAGGTGCAAGCATCCCTGTTGCGTCATTTAGTAGGGTCTGCAATTAGAACAAAAAATATTCCATTTAAATAATTTATAGTAGTTTCTTCTATAGAGTAAACCACAATTCTTCTAACTTCTCTTATCCTTAAAATTTCGGGAGTGATTAAAACAAAATTTCATTAAATACGCTTAAAAATCACAAAGAGTAAAATCTTTTATAATACGCATTTCAGTGGAACTTTGGTACGCCATTATCATCATTTGGTACACCATCCCGACCCTTTGGAACAATAAGGTCAGGGATGGTAAGACAGAGATGATGTTACGTAACACAAAATTTATTCGGTAAAAAGATACAGAAAAAATTGTAAGAGATAAATACGCAGTAAAAAGTAACAACATTAAACTAATAATAAGTAATTGAAAATTAAAATGATGATTTCCAAATATTTGAAAAATATTTTATTTATTCGATGATTTTTGCAAACATTTTTAACAGTGTAAAAAATTATAATGATATCATCTCCTTTTTCGTGCTTATTAAAAACAAAACAAAGTTTACATTATATTTAAAAATAATAATGAGCCACTAATAAAAGTGATAACATAATAATAAAAATTATAGGCCTTTTGCTGATAGTAGGAAAATTTTTAAAAAGTTTTATTTATTTAAATACTACCCGCTTCCGGCAACCAGTTGGTTCGTTTTTAAAGATTTTCAAGTATTTCGAGATAAAATCATTCAGTCAAAAATCAAGACAATGTGTAAGGATAAACTCATATTGCTTTAGAGAGAGTGGATTTAATTTGTTTCTTACATTTGTATAGTATCGCGTTGAATTTGTTATTTATTCAATACAACGTAAAGATAATATTTAAAAAAAAAATGCTAATGATTTCAATAGCGGTTTTAATGGATAATAAAAGAAATAGGAAGCTTTGTTAAAATCAAACTATGCATTTTTTTCCTATTATTAATCATGCGAGCCTATGAGTTTTAATTGTAAAGGTTCCACCTACAATCTGCAATATAAAAAATAAAATAAAAAAATTAAGTCAATTTTTACTTAGATCAACAAAGAAAAATTTTATTTTAATTACTTTTTATTAAATAATTAAATTTCTTTCTCCCATATAAAACCAAAATTAATTAATTAAATTTAATTGATGAATTAATACTTGAAAAAACTGTATTAACATCAAGTGAAAAACCACTACAAGTTTAAAAAAATGTATTTGAATCTGAGTGGATGAATAAAAAGTATTTTATTAACGATTGAAAATTTGAACAAGTATATATCCAGAGAGTGTGAACTAATAGTAGGAATTTTAAAAAAAGGCACGTGATATCAGAAAACTATAAAAGTATAAATTTGGTGACGTGGAACACACGTGCTACCACGTAATGCTCTTTAGTGAATTTATCTGACACAGCAAATATAAAATAATTAAATATGCGCAGTAAACTATTTTTGTGGCCGGGATAGCCTGGTTGGTAGGGCACTGGACCCATGTCCAAGTGGTCGTGGGTTCGATCCTTGCCGGCCGAAGACTCCCCGTGTAGTAAATGGTGACTGATGCACATTAAATCTGTCGAGTCTCAAAGTAATCCATGTTCACATAACAAATCAATACCTCTTGGGGTATTGAATTGGAGATTGATCGTTCTCTGATTCAGGTCAAAATTACGATCTGTGGAGGAATGAATGGATGTATAAATGGGTTCACCCTATAAACGGGTGTGACTTATGGGTGTGGCAGAAGTCGAATTCTTGGCCATAGATGGCGCCACTGGAAAAACAAGAACAATCGCACCCCCTCTGCCTTAATGGCATACGTCAACAACATCAACAAACTATTTTTTGTTCAAATAGAGCTATAAGTTAGAAATTATCACTGATGTTATTTTTAAAATGCGTGAAAAATCCGAAAATTCGACTTCGTTTTCGCTCATCCCTGTTTAATTAATGAATTAATATTTGAGAAAAACTGTTTTAATATGAAAGTGTCATCCACTAAAAGTTTAAACAAATGTCAATGAAAAGGCGAATCTGTATAGAAGAACTGATTTTAATGATGATCAAACTGGAGGGGTATTCTCTGAGTAACTTAGAAAAAAAAAATTCTGCTCGTAAAGAATAAAACAAACATCATTTAAAAAAAAATATTTTCGAATTTACTTTTCAATTCTATTGGTGCGTATGAGAATCTTGGTACCAATAAAAATATAAAAATGAATGGAATGAATTTTGTTTCTCAATAAAATTTCTGTTTAAAAATGGAAACTTAAGATGTTCATTGGTATAGGTGAGCGATACTAGCAGGGGATGGAGCTTCATATTTTAAAAGAAAAATAGTTAATAACAATTATTACTGTAAGTGTTCTGAACCGTTTTAAAGAGATTTACAGCAAGATCAATTGCTAAATTACGGAACAATCAAACAAATTGAAATATAGCTTGCCATTACACGATAAATGGTTTAGCGAAATTTAATTTTTTTCCTAAATTTCTATGGTGAGATTTCTTTGTTGAAAAACAATAAATTCTTTAACTTTTAAGTATTTAAAAGTAAAGACATTCTGAAATTCGAAAAGGATATTTGAACATGCAGTACTAAAAAAAAATCCCATAAAAAATACTGTAACAAAAATCTGCATTGTTTTTCGAAAAGATGTGTAATTATCTGAGCGTAAAAAAAAAAATCAACAGTGCAGTACAAAGGGTAGCAATAATTGTGCAAAATTAAAAACCAAAGTCACAAATAAATATTCAAGTAGCAGTTTTTTTAAAATTTTTATATCTTATGAATTATTCGGCAAATATTTTTCAAATTTTGTATTTTGCTAATTAAAATTAAGCACAAATTAGTGTAATTTACAATTCGAAATTATTCGATTGTTATTATGTAATATAATTATAAAAATGCATTAAATAATTTTTTTGCATGAAATGTTAAAACTGCATCTTAGTGCAAAACAAATTAATAATTTTTTGCAAAAGTACATTAAATCACTTATAAAGTTCTGGAGATATGAAGTACGCAAAAAATTAAATCAATATTAAGCGTCCCAAACTAAAATATGAAACATTGTAATATGTTGTATTTATAGTTATCTGCGCTATAATGCCCGGAGCATAAAAATTGTAATATTCCATTAATTTTTTTCTTTATTTTTATAATTTCCTTTCTTTTAATGTATTGTAAGCATTTAAAAAAAAGAGTAACGAATACATGTTAAAATATTATTAGTCAGATGGAAATTTATTTTATTTATTCATTATCCAATGCGTAAATTATTCAAGTTCTCATTCTTATTTCGTACTAATCAACATAAAATTTAACATAGTTACATGTTTTAAATATTAAAGCAGTTTTGGAATTTTTTATTACAGCTTTCAAAAATTTTTTACATCATCTATAATATTAAAAAGAAGAATTTGTGCGCATCTCTCCAGAAATGTTTGTACCGGCGTCATGAAATTCTGATGGATTGCAAATTTAGCTCCAGATCCTAAAAATCCTTGAAAAAATTCTATTCGATTGTTTCGAGAGAGACGCTTAAAAAATACTTTTTTTTTTTGTAGGTTCAGAACTAGCAATTGATAAAAACAAAGAGAAATATATTGGTATTATCATTTATGAATAAATATTGAACTATTATACATGATTCGGCTTTTCCAAAACATTTCAAAGTTTAACATCGTTATAGCGAGTGACCCCTTATAGGTCTTATCAATCGAAAATGCAGCTTATTACGCGTTTTTTAATTATTTTTTCCTCCGACATGCCAAATAAATTAAATGATCAACATGAAAGTGATAGCATAGGCAGGCTACGTCAACAAATCAGTAATTCGAAACTTTCTATAATACCATCTGCTATATATTTTGTTTTGAATTATGCTTTTAAATTTTGAAAAACTAAATCCATGGTGATAAATCTTTTGGAAGAAGCGTCGAAATTCGCCATACTATAATTGACTCCAATGATGCTTACTTAATTTTGCTAATAAATATTAAATGAAATGAAAAAATAAGCAACGCACTTAGAAACAAGAAGAAAAAAAGCGTTACAAAGGTACTTGTTTTTTTTTTCGGGGGAGGGGAAAATCGTAAAAAATTGCCTTACCATTATTGACTTTATTTAGTTAATAAGAACTAATTGGAATAAAAAGCAAGTTATATACTAAAAGGTAAAATTAATAAAGAGATTGTACCAATTTTTGCAGAGATGAAACATAATAAATCATCAAAATGCTTAATCTCCATAAATGTTGGTAATAAGCACAATTATTATAATGGCAATTGTGCTGTTTTAGTAAGTTCCAAAGGAATTAATATAAGAACAATTATTGTATTTGGTATCGATTAAAACAGCACCAATAGTGTATTTTTTTTAAAGTGGAAGATACTGTGTTTTTTAGATACTGTGGAAAGAGAGTTTTTACGGGCCAAACTAGTACCAAAGAAAACCGCTCAATTGTGGTAAATCTGGACTCATGAGTTGGTCTTGAGCAACAGACAAATGATATTGAATATAGTTAAATTTTTTTTGGAAAGCTGAAATGATAAAAATAAGTTCTGCTTAATCTAATAACGTAAATCCACAGTCCTGAGAAAATAATTATAAAAGGGGAATTATTTTAGCTTTATTAATTGTGTAAGTATATGTCTTTCAGTTACATGATTTCGTTGCGATCCTTAAAGTTTACCGATTCATCGACTGTTTACTTTTTCACACCCGGAACGAAGAACGGCTATACAACTAGTTTTCAATATAAACACAAATGATGATTTAAAGTTCAGTGAAAATCACCAACTCACATTTTTAAACCACATTTTCTAACTATATTTGTCTATCCCAAACTATTATAAAGCCATAACTAATACTGAAAGCAATATGAAAAAAAGAAGTGTTTGGCCACTTTTTATTCTAGGAATTATTACGCAATTATCTCCAGTCTGAATTAAAATTGACTTTTATTCAAATTGATGGAATACCACAATTTCTACACAGAGAGAGATAAATACAATAATTTTTCATCTTTCTGCG